TCATCCAACCCCTTCAGCTACTGCCGCGCCAGCTGTCTCTGGGAATGCATCCTGTATTGCACTCTTTGACGAGGAGCTACTGCATGAGTGTGTAAAAAAAATGAAACCATCATTGTCTTCTGGCCATGATGGTATTCCGTCACTCCTCTTGAAGGCATACAGTGCCATATTTATTCCTGTTCTAGTACAGATTTTTAACAACTGCATAAAGAATGAGGTCTTTCCCGCCATGTGGAAAACGGCACTTGTTGTACCTGTGCATAAGTCCGGTCCAAAAACAAATGTGTCGAATTACAAACCTATATCTCTTCTTTGCACATTTTCGAAGCTCCTCGAAGTGGCACTACACAAAATATTGTCATTCAATCTCAAGCGTTATCTCATCCCTAACCAACATGGATTTATGGCGGGTCGCTCGACCACAACTAATCTCGCCTGTTTTATGTCAACCGCTGCTCACGCCGTCGCTAACAGAGGCCAGCTTGATGTGATTTACTTTGACTTAAGTAAAGCGTTTGACATTCTTAATCATGAGATGTTACTGGCTAAACTGTCAAAGCTAGATATTCACAACTCATTGCTTTCATTGCTCGAAAGTTATTTGCGTGACCAGAAGTGCTTTGTTAGCTCGAATAATAATTCTTCTGCTACTTATGAGGCGACAACGGGTGTGCCTCAGGGCTCCGTTCTCAGACCTCTTCTGTTTTCAGTTTTTGTTAATGATGTTTCGATTGTGATTCGTCACTCTTCATTTCTTCAGTACGCAGATGATATTAAGATATTTATGGAGGTACGAGAAGACCGAGACTGTGTTTTGCTACAGAGAGATGTTGATGCGTTTGAAGAATGGTGCCGGGAGAATGACCTGAAGATAAATAGCTCTAAAACGAAAGTCGTGTCGTACACTCGTAAGACACATAACATTGTATTCCCATATGTTATTCAGACAGACCTTTTGGAACGTATGAACAGAATCAAAGATCTTGGCGTGGTGTTTGACAGCACCTTACACTTCTCCAGTCATGTTGATCACATCGTGAACGCAGCTCTACGCACGCTCGGGAGTGCGTGCCGCATCACTAAAGAGTTTATTAACCCCTGCACGTTTCTTATACTCTACAGTGCATTGTGTCGACCACAGCTTGAATACGCTTCTGTTGTATGGAATGGAATTTGTGCCACAAATTCCTCGAAAATAGAACGGGTTCAGAACAAGTTTCTTTCCATCTATAGACATCGTTGCTCAGCGCGTATTGTGCCCACCACTACTGATGTCCCTGTCCCTGTTCAACGTAGCGTGGCACTACCTACCCTGCTTCGTAGGAGAGAACTTGCCGATATCTTATTTTTATACAAACTTGTCCACGCCGTCACTGATTGCACGGTATTGACGTCAAGAGTTCTCTTAAAAATTCCTCTAAAAACAACAAGGCAAAATGCGTCCTTCTGCAACAGGCGTCTATTCAACCTCCACGATCCTGCGTCCAGACTTGGGCATACTTATAATTCTTCTTTTTCTGAAACACTTGACATATTTAACAATAACACGCTGCAGTTTGTAAAAACGTTAAAGTCCATCACTTAAATTTGAACTGTACGCACTAACTTGCGGCGTTCACGCCGAAATTCCCCACTTTGAATGCATTTCTTTTTCTTTCTTTCTTGCAATTGGTGGTGGCGGTAGTACCATTAAGCTTATCGTGTGTTATGACTTTGTGTTTACTTTTTATAATTTTTAAGTGTATTTTTCTAGAACTTGTCCGTTGTGTGTGTTGTCCGTACTATTGCTTTATGCGCTGTTCTGCCTTACATGTTAACACAGTGCACCTGTACCAAGACCGCAAGGTTGTTCCTGGGCACGAATAAAAACATTGATTGATTGATTGATTGATTATTATTATTATTATTAATATTACTACTACTACTACTATAACAATGCTATTTTCGGCTCACAAGTAGTTTGTGCCAAAGCAGAATAATATTGCATTATAGTTCGCGTTATTTCGCGAAATCATCTATCTGCATAAAACTAAACACAGAATTATCTATCATGTTCGACGTTGCACATCCAACATTCCTAATTCTCCCCACCTTCCTAAACGACCGTGTGTGTCCTAACGCCAGAAACCGGAATTTTAAACGTTAAAAAACGCCACGTTGCGAATATGGAACGCACACTTTCATGCAAACCTGACGTCAAGTGACTCAAATCGAAAAGCATGCATATTTACAATATCGTTATCTCTTTTGGTGAAGGCTAGCAACCGTTGCATTCGTTTTCGCGCACGAAACGGCGACTCCCAGAGAAAGTAAGAACGCAGTGATTGCCCTTATTTTAACAACGTAAACACACTTGTAGGCGCGCGCTGATGAAGTCTCAAAATCAAAACTCTGGTAGCGTGATTCATGACTGCGCCGGCTACTACCCAACCTCGTTGTCATGCCACTTTCTGGAACCAGACACGAAAATTGCAAGTAAACACACAAAAAGACACCGATACAATTATCTTGCAGAATTTCACCTCATTTAGTAATAACTGTGTCAATAGGCACTACATGTTGTATTTAAGTTAAGAAAAAAGACATAAGCCATAAATATCAAAGTTAAGTCTGGAAAATAACTAATGTAATACCTGTTCACAAAACTGGTGATCGCCAACTAATAAGTAATTACCGTCCCATCTCTCTCAGCAGTGTTCCATCTAAGCTCATGGAGCATATACTTTACTCAAATATAATAAACTTTCTTGACTCTCATAACCTTCTTTTTGAACATCCAGCACGGACTTCGTAAATCTTACACTTCTGAAACCCAGCTAACCGCCTTCCTTAGTGATATTTATTCAAGCTTCGATTTGAATATTCAGACCGACGCCATTTTCATTGACTTCTCCAAAGCATTCGACAAAGCACCTCACCAACGTTTTTTAACAAAGCTTAACGATATTAATATTCATCCTTCTGTTGCTAAGTGGATTTCTGAATTTCTAATTAGCCGTAAGCAATATTCCTCCGTTAACAACGTAAAATCTCCCACCCCTACCGTAACGTCACGTATCCCCCAGGGAACCATACTTGGCCCCCTTCTGTTCCCAAGATATAGTAAGGATCTCCACCTTAATATAGGTTCTTCTGTGTGCCTGGTCGCTGACGATTGTGTCATTTACTGATTCATTCTTTTATACCATGATTATCATGCTCCCCAGGAAGACCTTGTGCCTGTAATTCATTCGTGTGAAAAATGGCAGATGACGTTAAACTTCAATAAATGTAGATACCTATCATTTTCCCGCATTTCGCGTGCCACACCAATTTTGAATTACCTCACTAACACTCAAGTAATAGCTTGCCCATCATATAAATATCTGGGTGTTCATCTCACCTCTGTCTGGAGCCCCCGCCAGGTTGACCTACAGAGGAGACTAGAGTCGACGCAAAGAAAGGCCACAAAGACAGCACTTTACTTGCAGGACAAGAGAGCAAGCAAGCTACCCTATGAAAGGCGGCTGCAATCCCTCCGTTGGTCCAGACTTGATAAACGTCGACTGTTCTTCAGACGGGTCCTCCTCTACAGGTACCTACATGGTGTCTCTCCCATCCCCGATGGTTACTTGAGGAGGTCTAGGCGAGACCCCTCGAAACTTGAACAGCGCTTTGCCCGCACCATTTGTGCCTCTACCTCCCTCTTTGTCCAAGCGCCTACCCTGTGGAATCACTTACCAGATGCTGCTCGCCAGGCCCCAAGCGTAGACGAATTTAAAGATCTGGTGCGGAATCACCATGACACCTGCTCTCTTCATTAGACTAAGTATTCTCACCCTTTTGTAAATTACATTCCAACATCTCCATGTCATCTGTTAACGTATGGCCGAGGAGGAAATCAGCATACGTATGCACGGGCTTCTGCCTTTTGATTGCCTCAGGCTCTCGGTCGTATGGTTGTTTTAGCCAATAAACACCTGTGACTTATCATGGACTACGCACATAACTTCTGTTATTTCTGATACTAAACGTTATCCCGGATATTGGCGCTCTAACCTCAAACTTGCTCTTGCTTATAGGAGTAATATAACGACTAGCGTATACTACTCTTGTTTTTTTTTTATAACAACTACTCACCATATACCAGCATATCAGGATTACGCCAATCAGCTAACCTTCATTCACTTTCCCTTCGCTGCCGAGTATCACGCCTTTCTCTCCTCCATCGAATTTTTTATCACAATAGCCACCTCAAAGAATCATTGCTATCACCTCCCCATCGTATTTTCCCGCGTCTAGATAACCTATGTAAATTACGTCCAATTCGATTATCAACTGTTTCTCACCAGACTTCCACACTACCATTGGTCGTCGAGAATTGGAATTCACTACCTCATAACATCGTTTCTATTAGTGATACAACTAACTTTGTTGAAGCCATTCCCCTCTCTTTATCTAACCTACCTAGCTAGCTTACAGTGTTATAATTGTGTTTACTGTTCTATTTGTTTTTGTTCTATTGCCATTCTCTTGTATAATGCCCCACGGGCTCTCAAGGAAAATAAATGATGATGAACAGTGTATTTTTGCCGAATCTTTAGGAAAGTGCGGCAAAAGTTCTCTCCGCCGAATCCCAAGATTCGGCAAAAGTTCGGCCCATCGCTAGTACAACTATGCGACCCGGAGCGGGCGGGGGGGGGGGGGGGTTGGTTTGCCCCCCCCCCCCCCTCAAAAACAAGTTGGTACGCCACTGCCAGTGTCGTATAGAAAATAACTATCTCTACTAATACGTTAGATTCTTTTTAACAGACCTGGTTTTATGTAGTACTTTGTTTGGAATCTTGCTCATTTGTTATCACTTGACCGCTAGTTTGCATACAGTGCAAGTATAATTTGTGTTCTATTCATTATAACATTAATGTAAGGGGTCGAATATCATGCTTCTTCTTTCAGCCGCCATCAAGGGTGAAGTACAGAGCATCGACACCGTGGACATCAAGAAGGCCAATGAGAATTACTTGTCTTTGTGCCGCGGACCGGGAGGGTGGCAGGCGTAACCTAGGCAGCACCCGAGCTGGGCAGGCCCAGGGTTCAGTGGGGCAAGTACAAGGCCAAGCAGAGCAGGGTCAAAGCCCTGCGCCAAGTGTCGAAGGGAAAAGAGCCTGCCTGTCTGGCCTTCTGTGTTTCTAAATAATAGAACAATATATAAAATGTGTTATATCTATATAAATCAACCAGAACTGTTATTGGTGGCAGCATGGTAAAAATAATTACCCAAAATTGGTTGCTATGAGGCAATGGTGAATGCCCAATATTGGCTAGGAGAACGTGATCAATATAGGAAAGTATTGGGGAAGCTCATGCTTCCAATATAGGCCAGAAGAGTTGAAACAATATAGGGAAATATTGGGGAAGGCGGTGTGGCCAATAGTGGTTAGAGTAAGTATGCAGAATATTGGAGACGTGGGTGTAGCCAACATTGGTTACAAAATGTGAACCAATATTGGTTAATGTTGAAAACATTCGCGTAGCCAATACTGGCTAGAAAGTGTTCAATAATATTTGTCAACATTAGGGAAGTTTGTCTATCAAATATTGGGTAGACAATGTGCACCAATATTGGTCAGCGCCGCGTTGCACTTTCCAATATCATCCAATATTGCTGACACTATTTACCAAATATGGGACCATTATAAGACCAATATTGATCTGCTAACTTCAGCGTCAAAGAACTACTCAGTGTGCCAAGTGCTATTCGTCCCTTTGAAGTTCCAACTGTGTTATAGGTATCTTTGATACAAAATATCATAGTGATATTCTCAGAATAAGAAAACAATAGCTTTCGGTAGCCGCAGTCATATTGGGTGGTTCCTTCGGTCTCATTTCTCGATGATAAATATAACCGAATGTTTGAAATATGAAGCGTCTTTCTTTGTTTGCTTCAATTTCTTTCTTTTTTTTTTTTTTATGAGAGGGGGGGGGTAGGTTTGGTTTTAAAGAGATGTAACCTCAGGTCAAACTAGACAACGTGGTCTCGTTAGACCTTTTTCCTTTAACCATGTAACGTCAAGATGCTACGTGACTTGCTGACGTCACTTGGTATGATCACGTGGTTTCACGGCGCGCGACCACGCGATTCCTCTTGACGTATTTGTATCGCACGGAAGTCTCACTAAATATGCGCAAAAACAGGAACGTCCAGCGATCCCACCTTTCCGAGGTCTTGCATCTCTTCGACGCTGTAGCTCTTGATGGACCGCACCTCGTCGTCCATAGTTCGAAAGCCGATCAGGACTCTGGGAAAGCCTTCTAGAAAGCACTGGCTCCAATAAGTCAGAAGCTTATTCCTGGTGGAAGATAAAAAACACAAAACTGACACGCTATACAAAATAAAAAAAATATTCTTGGCAGGGGTTTTACAATTGCTTTTGAAAAATTTCCGAATAGGATTTTTTTCTCGTCTGTCACCTTTGAGTTTTGTGATGGATGTATAGGGCTAGCCATCTTCTTTTTGCACGTCACAAAGGCACTGCCGCTTTTTTTCTCGGAGAAGAGATTTTCATTCTTTAAATATCTATCAAGGAACGCAATTTTCTAATGCTGTGCATCACCCATTTGAATATATATCCTAATGGTTATCAAACTAGGTGCCTTTAAAGCGGGATGTCGAATCGAACCGAACCGAACGGAAAACCGGAGAAAAACTGTTATTTCTTACCGAATTGGGACAAAAACATATCCGAAATCCAGCATTTGATATTGAGGCCGGGCTGCAACGCCTCACTCTATTTCTACGGCGAGCGTGTACAAAGATATGCTTCCTTTCATTTAATTAAAAAAAAAATCGTTCCACTTTACGTTTGTAAAACAAGCTGTTACAGATCGACCGAACGGATTGTGGCGCGTACACTGGACACCGAAGAAATCCTATACTTTGCTTCAGCTTAAGTCCAGATGCATCCGACGCAACGAACGAATGGGATCAATAAAGCAGCGTCAAAAGCGACAGTTATCGGGCCTCTTTTTTTTTTTTTTTTGCGATTGGTTCAGCGATGATAGAACACGTAAAGAAAAACATGACGAACACAATGATGGGGCGCTTTTGACGCTGTCTGATTGGTCCATTAGCTCGTAGTGTCGGCTGTACCTAAGGGCTTTGAACTGCCAGGTACACGACGATAGATGGCGCTCGCCACCACTCCCAATCCAAAGGGGAAAACACCAACGCTGCAGCGGATGGAGCCGTTTCAATTTCGCAAAACCTGTCGTTTGAATTACGCGAAACCTGTCCATGCCGACGCTATTGTACTTCTTCGGAGGGAGATGTAATTTTTGCCTATTCCCCCAGTAACGTTGTTGCCCTTAGTAAAGTATTTGGATTCATGGAGAATGAGGAGAATGTTTGCAGGCCTTGATTCTTATAGGTGGTGTTCACTAAACTGTACATCCAGATTAACACGTAGGCCTAGAAGCACGAGCGGGTAGCTGTGCCTGGTGCTCCCGCTGCACCAGCGCTCGTAGAGCAGATGCGCGACAAGATGCGACGAACTGTCGCTTGTACTCTTCGTGGTGTAATCCACGTTGAAGTGGGACTTCGAACACCCAACACGAGCTCGATTCCACGCGTCGAAGGAAAAGGTGGTGGATACCTGTGGAACTTGAGCACTTGGCTCATACAATTCGTGTATCTGGTACTCCTGAGCTTGACGTAAGCAGCCGTGGACCCGGGATCGTGCGGCACATCGCTGTCGATGGCGTCCACTTCGGTGGTGAAAAGCAGCGAGTGGGACTCCAGCCTCCCTTTCAGCACGACGTAGAACTGGTCGAAGCAGATCAGGGGGGCGTCCATGTCGGGGGACATCCCAGGCTGAGCTGTCATTGACATCACCATGTTACTTGTCTTCAAAAAGAAATATATGCAATGCTTTTCATGCATGTATATAATCATCACATTATTATGTTCACTAGACGCGGCACTGCGGGCCTCCATGGTACGGGCTGCTGCCTTTCCGCGGTGCCGCGGCTCTCAAGAGCTAAATAAATAAAGACTAAAGAAAGAATTTTTTATTACAAAAAAAATACACTATGCATCGAGGGGTTTGTCTTCTTTTTTTTTTTTTTTTCGTTACGCTGTCCTCTAATAACTGTTGTCAGTTAGCGCAGAACTGTAAAAGTCACAAAAACGAGAAGGGAAAACGCCCCTTTTGTGGGAATGTTGACGGGCAAACTAATTTTGCAGGAGGACAAAAGAACAAAAGCGACTGCTCCTTTTGTAGGGTTCGCGAGGAGCGAGAAGTGCCCTCCCCCTCCTCCGTCCGATCGCTGCGCGTGCCCGTACCGGCAAACGAAAGCTGGAACACGTCACCAGCTACTTTCCGCTACTCAAAAATAGAAAAGTTTTAGTACAGCGTTGCTGGCTCTTACGTACGCAATCAGGCACGTAGCCAGGGGGGCGGCTCATGGGGCCCGCCCCCCCCCCTCCCCCCCTCCCCCGAAATCTTCCATTTTGCTGGGTCCTGCTCTCCCAGCTCCCCGTCATACAGCATTTTGTCATGGGCGCCCCCCCCCCCCCCCCCCCCCCCCCCGGAAAACAAAATCCTGGCAGCGTGCCTGTACGCAATAGGCAATTAGTATGGGGTAGGCTAAAAACCACCTGCTCAAACCGATTTTAGTTGGGCGTTTCGTTGCCGAGTGAACATCTCGCATGATCTTGTTCATTCAATTTGCCAAAGCCGTAGAATTTTTCGTGCTCCTAGCGCCACCATGCTCCTCAAAAGAAATATTGAAAATGAAAACGTTTTAATCATTTTATTTCAAATTAAACCCAAGCCGCAGCTGCCTGGTCAAGCTCGCTTTTTTGAGGGGGTACGGAGGCTACGAGTACGATATAAAACAAGGCAAGTGTCCTTCGCCTGTGCTTCTCAACAAATTCAACCCAGCACACGAAGTTTCTATATTACAGATCCCGAAATTTGGATCTCACAGAGCTGTGTCGTAAAGAGTATCAATGCTTCCAGTATTTATTTATTGCGTGCCTTTTATTTCCTATTAAAAGCTGAGTTTTTGGGAATGAATATTACATGTTGGGACAACACGATGAATGCGACTTTAAATTATAATAATATTGCTGTGTGTGTTTATAGAGCCAGAATTTAGACAGCCTCAATGGGTGTCAATTGCCTCACCTGTACATGAGAAAGTTAGTTCAAACCGCTAGCCTGAGGTCTTTAACGTGGACCACGCAAGAGCTACACGTGACCGACCGCACGATGTTCATTTAAATATAAATGGGCAGAGATGAATGTGACTGTGCCATCATATTGCAATGGAACACTGCTACGGCAATTCATACTCATTGGCGCTAGAGAATTCAACATTTTAGGGCAATATACCTTGTTCTTGTTTGTTCAGCGTTTAGTATTTTCTCGTTAATTGCAATAGCTGTTTCTATCATTGACATATATGAACATCGATAAAACAAGGGTATATTTAATGTTTGGGACGACAGGCTTGTGCGCAGACTTGTACGTAATCCGTTACAAGTAACAAAATTAATTGTAAGCCTTTACAATTATCAGTAATTTAGTAACGGATTAATTACATATTTTCTAGAGTAATTTTAAAGTAATTCCCTTACATTTTTTGCGTAACGGATTCCTTGCAATCCGTTAAATTTTTTTTTTCAGAACCAACCCCCCCCCCTCCCCCTCCCTTTCTAAATTTTTTTTTTTTTTTTTTTGGGGGGGGGGGGGGGTCAAGTTGAGCGCGTCACACTATCGCGCGAATTGACCAGCGCAAAGGTAGGCTTGGCACTGTTCAGTTCCGCAAAGCCTTTTTTTTTGCAACACCAAGCCTCTCATTATATATTTTTTAGACCCTAACAACAATGCCAAAAAATCCAAATGAACATTTTTACAAAAAGAAAAACAAAAGAGGGGGGGGGGGAAAGGGGGGCAAGTTGTATCCGCCTTTTTAATCCTTTTTTTTTTTTTTGCAATCGACGGGGGGGGGGGGGGGGGGGGGGGGGGAGAGGGCACCAAGTGATTGTATGCCTCGTCGAAAAGCTCGAGGCGGTAAGTGCACAGACAATAATTAACAATGTCCTTTTCGGTTATAGTGACGACGACCCTTTTCATAATGTCACAACACGAGACAACGCTCCGTCTACCCTAAAATACACTAAAAGAGATGTGATAATATGCGAAGGTGTTATTGCCACAAGCATGCATGCTCGTTCGCTGCGGCTCGCTTGCACCTTTGCATTTAATTGCATTATAAACACTTATCATCTTCTCTTACAAAACAGGATGTTTTTTTTCTGTTTCTTTCACATTATTCGACCCTGTTTTAAAAGCTAGTTACTTTTTCGTGGTCCAACTTCTAGGGTTAGCCCACCTTATTTATGAATTCCAGCCAGGTTATCTGCATCTCAGTCACCCTTTTTGTGAGTCAGCTTTTTGCGAGCACTTCAAAAATGGTAATAGTCTTCCTTTCTTCATCTTCCTGTACTGACCCCAGCAGGACGCAGCTTACCTGAAGCAGATATTTTTACAAATAAAACATAATGGTGGCTGACGTAGACTTGATATTCTGGATTGAGGAGAGAGTGAAACTCGTGAGTGTGGCCATAGCGCGGATTACTTAGTACTCTGCCCTTCGCTGCCCGTGGCGTCAGCGCACGTCTATCTGGAGAACACCGGAGTAAACTGCAGTCGGTCCGTGCTCCATGCGTTTTTGAACGGCACCAAGAAAGGTACACACGGCAAACGTGCGTTTACAATTACCTGTTTTAACCGCCGTCCTAATTGCTGTTATGAGTCTTTTTTTATTACTTATATTTATTTCCTGGAAAGTTTTTTTTTTTTTTTATTCACCAACGTCTCAACCGACGCTCGACCTGTTCAGAACCAAAGGAAGAAGAATATCGAACCAAACCTTATATATTATTGAATTATCACTTTACTGTTACAACTATGTTTTGCTATTGTCTGGCAATATATGCCGGTATAGTAAGATGGACATAATTCTTATTTTAGTATTGGCGAGATGTATGATGACTTGTACAGCTTCGCGATTTCGACAATGGAAATTTTTAGTAGATTGTCCCAATGAGTTCGATAACGATATCCGATACTCCGCCGCCGCCTTTGCGCACTCATCATATCGTTATCAGAGGGTATAGGAGGTACTGGAACGATCTACTAAAACTTTCGAATATCAGGCAACGGCTGCAACAAGGAAGCTTTGCTCTATTTTCGGGGTAAATAGTACTTCCATTGCTTCACTGAGAAATCTCAATGCAGAGTATAAAGCATTCGTGAGGCACAATACCGCACTCCCTTGCAGTGCTTCAGTTCAAAGGGTTTGTAGCGTAGCGGTCGACACATTGAGTAATAAATAACGCAAAATGTCTGAAAATACTTTCGAGAGTCAGCTGTTGCTCAAAATACTCAAGGTCATTAAATTGAACAGGTTGCAACAAGAATAACTTGAATAACCCTCTTCCCTTCGTTTCTTACTTGAGGGCAATAATGTTGGAAGTAACGCCACGAAAGTAACGGATTACTTTTTGAGGTAACGGTCACTTACTTTTATTGAAGAGTAATTGTGATTGTAATAAATTACAATTTAGCCTTGAGTAATTGTAAATGTAATTCTTTACTATATTTCAGTAACGTGTACAAGTCTGCTTGTGCGTACGCGTATTCGACGCGGTAGAAGTTCGTTTTCCAAAACACGCACGGAGTCCAGAAAAGCAAAGGGCAGCACCCACCGGACGCCATCAACTTCTTGAACTTGTGGCCCCAAAACTCCGCCTGCCGTACGGCCTCGGAATTCTCAGTCTCCCAAGCTGCTCGAGATTCGCTCGTGACCTCGCACAAGTAGATGGTGCCCCTGAAGAGCGTGGCAGAAAACAGCCATTTGTCGTAGGTCTTGTACGGTGTGCGAGCCAACCGAGAGAGTAGGCCTCGCTTGCAGACAAAGTCTACACCCAGACTCTCCCTGCAAGCAGTGGGCAGAAACATCCATGTACGACAGCCGTGTCAGCAGAGAACTGCTCCAATAGGGCTGAGACCCCATGGCAGCCATAAAAATGGCGATAAAAGCCGGAGTTTTAATCAGTGCTATAATGCTTTTTCGCTCCCTGAAAATATTTTAAATACACAACGGCAGAGAGAAGAAAATGGTATTTATCTTGGTATAAACAAAGTATGATTAAACTAGAAATTTAGCTCGGTGGGAACATGTCAAAAAGAGCGTTTTCGGCCGTACATGATTTGGTGGTACTAATGAGCAGAGCTTAGGGTTGGACCGACATGTTTAAAACAATTTAAGATGTGCAGATAGAGAGTGTTAGCTTTGCATGTTGTGGCCCTTTTTTATTTTAATAATATTTTGAGTTTTGTATTTCTTGAAAAATCGGCTTCATGGGAGAAAATGCGTGGTCGATTTTCACAAACATTTATATATATATAAGGTGTTTTTCTAAGCTTAACAGATTTGGGTTTAAAAAAAGCCGTGAAAGTTACACTTATGCCGCTTGTGGAGGTAAGTTATGCGGCCAGGGGGACATATAATAGGAGGCTAATCGTAACAATCGGTCGGCTAATCAATTAAAATTCGTAAATTAACTTTTTAATTAAAATATACATATGGTTCCAATTAGAAACTTGCTCAGCGTCATTGAAAACCATTAAATCCATCTATTTCAGAAAGACTTTGAGTGCGTGAGAAGCGTATTAGTGCACTGAAGTTACCGCTCGTGGAGCAGGTACAAAGCTAGAGGTTGCGATAAGGCGCCCGAGCGATTTTTCCGTCTCTTATCTAGCTCCAACCTTGTACCTGCTCCACGAGTGGTAACTTTAGTGCACTACTACGCTTCTCACGCGCTCAAAGTCTTCCTGAAAATGACTGATTTTGGGGTTTTCGATGACGCTGAACAAGTTTCTAATTGAAACTATATGTCTATTTTCATGAATTAAAAAGTTAATTAACGAATTTTATTTAATAAGCCGACTGATCGTCACAATTAGCCCCCTATAATATGTCCCAGTGGCCGTATAACTCAACTCCACAAACGACATGAGTATAACTTTCACGGATTTTATTTTTAATTTCGTTGAAAAAAATATATGTTGTGGCGTCGTCTCTAAAAATGCAGTAGCCACAAACCGCAAGTTCGTCGGATTTTTCGTTCTCGACTTACGCATTTTAAAGAAGGTCGCGGGCGGAAAGCAGTGCTCTTCATATCCGTCGTGGGTCGGATGTTTCGCTCGATCTCCCGGCGTGGATTTTCAGTCCACATTACATTAACTTTTCTCAAGCACTCAGTGAGCACAGGTAAAAGGCTCTAGTACCATAAAATAATTTTAGGCGCTTTTCTTTTTTTTTTTTTTTCTGTAAAAATGTCAGAAACGCCCCCTTGGTTAATTGTTGACGAACTTTGGCAATTAAATACTGGCGATTTACTTAGGTTACGTCAATAACTTTTATGTCTATGGAAAGCCCAAAACACGCTCTTTATATATATTATAAAACCACTTAGCTGCATGAAATTCCATTGGCGGCACGTTTACGTTAATGTTATGCGAAAACCAAAAAGTACCAAATTTGAAATCGATTTTCTCAAAAAACCCATTTTTTTATTTTTTTTATTTTTTGTTCAAATGCAGATATGATAGTTGTCTACTCGAAAAGCAAGTCGAGAAAGTGTGTATTTTGTTTGTATGTTCTATATTTAAGCATCAATATCGTGCAAAAACGTGTTTTTAAGGCTCGAAACGGACTTGCGAATTACGCGTCCTCACAAACTTGGAAATATTTTTTACCTTTCTTCAACGTTCCCACATACAAATGAAATACAGTAGTTCCACCCTGTTATATTTATTGATCATTTAAATTTTATGATGGGCGACAAGCTACATCGGAGGATTTCAAAAGAGAAAGCAACACTTCTTAACGGTCCAGCAGGCATCATAAATATTTAATGTGTAGAAATCGGCACACGTCGTATTGATTCGGGGCCTTCATTGGACTACAATTTGAACGTCCCGCCCTTTCGGAACCAACAGATGACCACGACCTTTTGCGCTGGTTGTGTAAAGCGCGATCCAAACCAACGCTTCTTTTTGCGCCTGTAGGTCGTGCGGCTGCGGATGTGACGTATTTTTGTGACGTCGCGCCGCTTCTTCGCTCCTTCCGGGCGCGCACAAGAAAGTTGGATAATTTCAACTTCGTCTCAACGCGCACAAAAACGCGCGGTGACGTAGTAGGGCGCTCCTGTGTCCCGGCCAATCGGTGGAGGGCAAGCTAGTTCCGGCTCCGCGTTTCTCGCCGTCTGGCTGCCCTCTCCTCCCCCACCCCCCCTTTTATTCTCTTCCAACATGACAACGCGATCTCTCTCTCTCTCTTTCTCTCGCCGTCTGGCCGGCCAGTCTGTCGCAGTTGCACAGTGTTGCCAGGTCTACTGATTTATCAGTAGATATACTGATTTCGTTCCGGGTCTACTGATTCACTGAAAAACAAGAAAATCTACTGACTTTTTTTTAGTAACGATATTAAAATTTTATTATTTGGCCCCTTCAGTTGCCAGTGTCGGTCATCAAAGGAAACTCATATTGTCCCAGAATTAAAAAAGAAGCACTGGCTACATGGCCCAGAAGCCCGTCCTATTCGAGTAATGTAGCCGTATATTCATATATCTATTTACCCAGAGCAGGTTCAGCAGATTCGGCAGATTCGACGGTGACATCTGGGCCAGAGCCATATATGGAGAGAGTTTGTCCAGTCTATGATCTCGCCGTAATGTCCCTCCCCCGAGTGAGCCAATCAGCCCGCGGCGCAGAGCGAGAGGTGTGAGCGCATGCGCCTGAACTCTGGCTGCTTCGAGTTGAGCGGAGAGGGCCGCCATTTTCATTCATTCGCCCGGCGGAATGCATGGGATCAACATCCAAATTTCACTTATTTACTTTTATTTGGCAGGTTGTGGCAAGAAAATTATATAATTTTATTCCTCGGTGGCTTAAAAAGCTAACGAATTAAGTTCTCCATGTTTGAACGCAAACTTTGGGTCAGGCAAAAAAGAAATAAGCCCGTAGCAGACGACGCGTAGCCTCAACAGTGCTCCGCGCCGACAGCGTTGCTTCAAAAACCTTCCGCAGCCCAGTAAGGAAAGATGGCAGCTGGCAGAGGACTTACATTGGACATGTACGCGCGCACTTGCCGGAACGTCTTGTTTGGGTTTCGTTTTAATAATAGCGACAGGTGGATGGCGCACTGTCGCCCTCATCCGTTGAGGCCAAAAGTGGCTCAGTCTCGATTTCAAAGAATAATCTTCGAAATAGTCAATAATGATTAATAAAAAAAGAAACATTTATGGTGCCATTTTAATTTGTCCTTCACAAACAATTACTCCAGAACTGGTCTTGTTTTTTTTTCAATTTTATTTGTGTTTATTACTATGTTCTATGTCACTTTATACTATTTCTTCGAAGTGTGTATTAATGGAAATAGCAAAACATGGCAAAACACATATTTCGTAGAATCTACTGATTTTTGTGCAAATCTACTAACTTTTTGGGGATCAATCTGCTGACTTTTTTTTTCTCCGTCTGGCAACACTGCAGTTGCACTTTGCTTGTGCGCTCGTGCCTGCGTGCGCGCTCGCCCGAAGTTTCGCCCGTCCAAAGCAAAGCGCACGGTTCTGACTCAGAGAGCGCGCCCGGAAACAGCAAAAACGCCACGAAATGCGTCACATCCGCAGCCGCACGACCTACAGGCGCAAAAAGAAGCGTTGGTTTGGATCGCGCTTTAGATAGGACGGCCCGTGACAGTAAAGCGAGCAGCGCACCCTGTGTCACGAGGAGTGAAATGGTACGAATGTGTCGTTGACACGGCGAATAGTGACGGCCACCCTGGAGGAGTCAGTCAGTCGAAAGCAAAGGAACTGTTGTCTGGGAGAATGAGGACACCACGGCCTTACAATATCGACGGTCAACAACAGTTCTGTCGGCCAAAACAACGCCGCGTGCGCGCTGAAACCGGCGGCGCGGGACAAACATCCCGCAGACGCACGAACGAAGATGGGCCGGTTTTGTTAGGGATGCGGGGAAATTTTGAAACCAGTCATTCGTGCACGCGTGAAACGATACCGCGTATTTGCCCAAGCTTCGAGCGCCCTATCCTTAAAACTGCCGTGCTCTATCTCCCTCAGCGGAGATCCGATAGCACCGAAAGGTGATCTCTTTTGGAGACAGCAAAGTCCGGAGACTAAGATTAAAAACGAGCGTGTTGGTAGATATATTTGTGTTGATTCTGTCCGGAGACTAGTTGGGTCGAAGTCAGCCTCCTTGTCAACTATAACCGTTTGTGAAGAGTGGTCTTCTCCCGAGATCAAAAGTTAGCGCCGGCTGAGGTGTTCTTTTGAAAAGGGAAGGGGAAAGAGAAAGTTTGAGTAACTGCAGTAACTACCTCGAAAGCTCCTCTTCCGATATGAAGCTCGAGGCATGTTACGTCTCGGTTACCTTCTAGAGCATCGCTGCTCGAATCTACTCTTCACTTTGTTCCGCACAGCCACTGTTCAGCACAGCCGTCGTGGCTGTGCGGAACAGAGTGAAGAATAGATTCGAACATCATCTGGACGCCGTCATCCTGCCAGGCTTCAGTGTCGTGGGACTGGACTCGGCGTCGGTCAGTTAAAACTTTTTTTTTTTTTTTTTTCGTGTGTTTCTTCGCCTTGCTGAACTTTGTTTCTCGGGTGCGGTTCTGCTGAACTTTTTTTAAAAATGTTTTCTTACTAACTGTTTGTTATCATTGTTTAGTTGTTGGGTTTATTTCGTCATGGCGTAGCGGCCTGACAGTGCTGTAGAGAGCGTGTTCGCACGCATTTGGTTGTGTCCCGTTCAGGGAATGCCCGGAGGAGTTGGTGTTTGTTCTTGCAGTGTGTGGCTGAGTTTTTCCGTCTTGATTAAATTTTTTTATTATTTTTTTATTACCTTTACGTG